GGAGGAAGGATAGGATAGAATAGGAAGGATAGGATAGTATAGGATAGGATAGGAAGGATAGAATAGTATACGATAGAATCCGAAGAAAGAATAAGATAGGACAGAATAGGAAGGGTAGGATAGGATAGGAAGGATAGGAAAGAAGGATAGGTGGGATGGATATTATAGTCGAGTCATCCAAAATAGCCAAGTCATCCAGAATAGGCTGAGTCATCCAGAATAAGCCGAGTCATCCAGAATAAGCCGATGGATGGATGGATTGATGGATGAATGGATGAATTCATAGGATAGGAAGGATAGGACAGAATAGGAAGAAAGGATAGGATAGTATAGGATAGGAAGGATAGAATAGGATATGATAGAATCCGAAGAAAGAATAAGATAGGACAGAATAGGAAGGATTGGATAGGAAGGAAGGAAGGATAGATAGAAAGGATAGGAAAGAAGGATAGGATTGAATAGGATAGGTGGGATAGATATAGCCGAGTCGTCCAGAATAAGCCAAGTCGTCCAGTCCTATCCCTCTTTCCTATCCTTCTTATCCTATCCTTCCTTCCTATCCTATCCTTCCTTCCAGAATAGGAAGGAAGGATAGGATAGAATAGGAAGAAACAATAGGATAGTATAGGATAGGAAGGGAGGATAGGATAGGAAGGATAGGAAAGAAGGATAGGATTGGATAGGATATACGATAGGATATAGGATAGGATATAGAATAGGAAGGAAGGATAGGATAGGAAGGAAAGGATAGGAAGGAAGGATAGATAGAAAGGATATGATCAGACAGCATAGGAAGGAAGGATGGATGATTTTTTCTATATTTTCTTCACTACTCTTGACTTTCTATAAGGATATCATCAGATCGATTTTTCTCGAAATTTCAAAACGCCATAACTTTCGAACCGGAAGTCGGATCGAAATTTGATTTGCAGATTCGGATTCCTGAGTAAATTCTACCCTTAATTCATAACTCATATGTTAAATTTGGAGAATTTTTTATTTTGACCTACTTTCTGGACGCCATATTTCAAAATCGGTAAGCGTAATCAAAAATCTAATGTCATATCTTTGCTTTGGCTTTTTCTAAGCTACATGATGAAAAAAAGATTTAGGAGTTGCGATAAACAACGACGAAGATAAATGACAGAATGTTGAAAATGTAAGATTTGACCTAGTTCTTGACCTTTGACCTAGATAAAAATTTGACCCAATTTCCGAGGAACTAGATACTGGACATAAATTGACTGAATAATGATATTTATTGGAAGCCTTATGGTTATCGAGAAAACTGGGAAAGAATAATAAAGAATAAAAAGAAGAAGAAGAATACTGACAAAAACAATAGACTCCAGATTGACATCTGGAGTCTAATAAGAAAACAGGCAAAAACAATAGACTCCAGATTTTCAATCTGGAGTCTAATAATATAAAAATTCTCTATGGAGTGTACTACAAATCTCCTAATCTAAACAGAGATCAGGAATCAGAATATTTTGACAAACTTGAGCAAAACTTGGCACAGGCCTACCATTCTCATTGTGACTATTTACTAATTAATGGAGACTTTAATTCAAAAAACAAGAAATGGTGGTCTAATGGAATAACTGATTCCAATGGGGAAAAACTCGATGAAATCCTCATGAATAATAACTTAGTTCAACTTATCCATGAACCAACTAGAATACAGCTAAACTCAAGATCGTGCATTGACTTAGCTATAACTAACTCACCGGATCTAGTTAGAGAAGTGCAAGTCACTCATCCGATCGGATGTACTGATCATTTGACCCTGAATTTAACGTTTCCAATGAGATTACCTAAGAAAACAAAATCCAAAAAGCGCACATGGAAATATGATCAAGCAAACATTGAGGAATTAAATAGACGGATTTTTGAAATTGATATAGAAAATAGATATAACGAATGTAATGATGTTGACCTGCTGACAGAATCGTTCTGTACAGATATTTTCAAAATTTTTGAAGAAACAATTCCAAACAAAATCACAACTTTCAGTTCTAAGGATCAACCTTGGTTCAATAATAAAATTAAACATATGATTCGATTAAAGTCAAAAGCATATGAACGCTTCAAAACCTCAAAAGAACCGACAGATTTTGATACCTACAAAGAGAAAGCCAGAATACTTCAGGAAACAATTTCGGAAGCTAAAGATGAATACAATTCAAAAATTTGCGAAAACTTGTCCACTGAAAATAACAGTGGTAGCAAATACTGGACACTGATTCAAAAGCTTATGAACAGAAAATTCTACTCTGGTTTCCCTTCACTGAAACTTGGACATACAATTGCGTCAACCAGCCTTGAAAAAGCTAATCTTTTTTTGAAGTTTTTTTCCTCCAAATACCACTCTGATATAAATTTTAATCAGAATCTCCCAGAATTTGACAACAGAACCCACATACAGATCGGTAATCTTGAAACTTCTCCAGAAAATATTGCACTAATTATAGGTACTCTAAAAAGGGACAAAGCCCCTGGTATTGATAATATCACTAATAATATGATCAAATTAGCATCTCCCTCACTGTCATCCAAACTTTCTGATCTATTTAATCTGATTTTCAAAACTGGAAAATTTCCATCCGTCTGGAAGGAAGGAAATACAATTCCAATCTTCAAAAAAAGCGACCGAACAACAATTGAAAACTACAGACCAGTGACACTACTGCAAAGTCTATCCAAAATTTTAGAGAAAGTTATACACTTCCATTTAATGGAGCATGTTTTTGACCAGAAGCTTGTTTACCATAAGCAATCTGGGTTTTTACCTGGACATAACACGGAACTTCAAATAACAGCTATAGTTGACTTTATTTTAAATGAATTTGAAAAGGGCAAAGGAGTTAATTCCTGTTTTTTAGATATTTCCTCTGCGTTTGATTCTGTTCCGCATGCACTACTCTTACACAAACTTAAAGCGTATGGAATCTCTGGTCTGACCTTGACCCTTTTGAAATCTTATCTATCACAAAGGAAAATCTGTGTTACAGTGGATGATGCAAAATCAAAATTTTCAAATATCGGCCATATCAACACAGGAGTCCCTCAGGGGTCTGTTCTTGGACCCCTGCTGTTCCTTCTTTATATAAATGACCTTCCGCAAAATCTAAATTCTGAGTGTTTCATTTACGCTGACGACACCTCAGCATATGCTTCTTTTGACACAGCCCTAAATCAAACTTTTGACCTCCAACATGACCTTAACATTCTTGAAGAGTGGTCTGCTAAATGGCACTTAAAATTCAAGGCCTCAAAAAGTGCGCATATGATTTTTCAACCAAAGCACATAGATAATTTTGACCCCATGCCCCTTTTCTTTGAAGGGACACAAATTCCCTATAAAACATTCCACAAACACCTAGGCTTCACTTTCGACAACAGGCTAAAGTTTGATATACATATAAATGAACTAGCAAGTAAAGTTCAAAAGCAACTCAACCCTTTACAAGCACTAAGCCATAAAATTAACTCTAAACATCTCGAAACTATTTATAAAGCTTATATCCTTTCTCATATGGACTACTGCAGCTCCATCTATGGAGGTAGCACACTTCAAAACCTTGCTAAACTTGACAAACTTCATTACAAAGCTGCGAAAATTTGTTCAGGAGCCCTGCACGGCTCGTGTACCCTCAAAACCCTGGACTGCCTAAAATGGAAAACTCTCGAAATGAGAAGAAATGACAAAAATCTAGTTATTATGTATAAAATATGTAGAGGCTTATCACCTGATTACATAACTGAACTTCTTGACAAATACAAAAATGAACAAGTTAGAGATCTCAGATCTCACCAACCCTTCAAAATTCCAGTCAAGGCGAGTGCCCGGCTAAGGAAATCCCCTGTGTTGAGGTTAATAAACCAATGGAACAAACTAAGTGAAGAGGAGAGGGTAATACCCAGAATATCAATATTTAAAACTACGGTAAGGAAGAAAACAAAAGATTTTCAAAATTTTAACACCACATCCAAACTCAACCTATCTCGTAAACAGGAAATCATTTTAAACCGAATAAGATGTGGTCTTTACTTCAAATCTCAAAAATTTGCGCATAATTTTACTGGCATTTCTGACAACCTTTGTATATGTGGTGAGAGTGAAACGCCTAAGCATTTCATCTTTAACTGTCAGCGCCTTTCTACAAGACGACATGAGTTTATTGAGTCCCTTGAGCAGCATAACCTTGAGAACCTGTTACCCCGGAGACAAGATGATAGAATTAAGGCATTAGTGTTTGAAAACGATCTGTCACTAGAAAAAGATAGTATTTTAAAGAAAAAATTCATTAATTTTATAATGCATCAAGATACTTAAAGTGCTTCTGTCTTGGGTAGAATGTGGCAAACTCCAGGATAAACTATGCAATTAAGCACACACATCTATGTTTTTATTTTATGATATTTCACTACAGATGAAATTAATTAATGCTAGCCAGTAATGCCATTGGCGCTTGGCAGCATATTTTTGTATTATTGTATATGAATCTGTTGAATAAACACAACTAAAACAAAAACAAACTCATGTCAATTCTGGAATCACATGGCAGCCATTTTGGAAATTTCAAAAAAGTTCCCAATTAAAAAGGCTAAATGCTGTTTACAATTTGGAAACTATGGCATGATCAACAAAGGGTTTTTGAAATAATTAGGATATGGTTTCAAAATTATGCACATGACACTATATGACTACTAAATGCAGGCAGGGACTTTTAATTGCCAAAAAGTCGAGTGACATTTTAGCTGGCGAAGAACTTACATAATTGCATTAAAATGATGCATTTTAATTTCATGTGTATCTTTACAATAGTTGAATTGTATGATATGTTGTATGATATGTTCTTTTCGGGTGTTATTTAAAGATTTTACGTGAATGACGTGCTCTTGTGGATTAGGCTGCCTACGCCTCGCCATGGGAACTTAATTGTTTCCTTGTGACGTAATTTCAATTATTTTGACTCATATAAAACAATTTTCCCAAGGACTCCAGCAAATCGAGCACGTGAAGGAATGTACCAAACGGCTGCAACTCACAAACATCATGGAGATACAGTCATTTATATTCATGATTCACCATCAGACCAAAATCAACAGAACTGCATGAATAATAAGACCTTCAAACATTCAAGTGATGCTGAAAACAAATGTATAAATACAATTCAAACAACTAGGACGACGGAGTGCGACTTCTTTAATGATACAGAGAACAGACAAACAGTGGAATCGAACAGCAGCAAGCAAGATAAAACAGACGATTGTATCGATGCCACATATTACGAAGAACCGAATAATAGGTCAATACTTACTTGGACAAATGCCACGCGCATGCCAACATCGACAAAATTCAAGTATACACATTGCTCGAGTAGTAATCGATCAATTTTGTATAACAACCAACAAATATACACAGAAAGTGACGCAACATCATCGGCCGACAGTATATCGCAAATGGTCAACCAAAAGTGCTGCTATTCTCCATATTCTAAGACGATTTCCCCAACAGACTACAAACTACTGAACGTCGCTAGCTTCATGGACAACGATAGAACCTCTCTGGTGGAGTTAACGAACCAGATTTATGTACACCCTGGTTTTCCCTCTAGTGACAGTTCGGAACTTGCGTCTTCCCCAAAACTACAGCTATCCAGGATGGAATGCGATTTATTAAGCCACGCTAGTTATGTCCTGTGTCCAAATTCAGGGGCTGCTCATAAAGGGTGTCACTCACACCACTGCTATGTTGATATGGAGCATTAATATCGGTGTGTAGCTGATTTTTTGAGATTCGAAGTGAACAAATTATTAGATGGAGCTGACAATTTTATTTTAACATGCCAGCGTTAAAACTGCGTGTCATTTTTGTTGGTACCAAAGTAACTCGCCATCGAAATACCATCAGAAGCCGGTTGAAAACAATGTCGTCATCTTTGACATTTCTGCAATTTCTTCCCTTCTTAATTTTCTCCACTGCAAACAGCTGGAAAAGACAGAAGACAAGAAGTGTTTTAGAAGTAGGCATGTTCTGGTCTACAATGTAATTCTGAACTTCTAAGTATTCTTTTGGATAAAATGGGAGAAATAAAAAAGGATAAATGTAGCTTGCATCGTTTATGCGACGAGGAGCGTAAATACCTTACCTAAATATCATGAATTACAATTCACACAAGGCAAGGTGTGTCCGATTCTGGCCAATCAGAACAGAGTATTCACATAATGAACAGCGTGTGAAATATCAATAACACACGCAAGGTCAAAACATGTAGCTAAACAGTTGTCATAGTGAGTGAGGAATGGACTTTTCACATTGGATTTCATGACTTGCCAACTTGACCTTTGTGAAAAATGTAATTGAAAATGTGCTATTTTAGTGATTTCGTTCATTTTAGATGATGTTGTGGAAAAGAATTGCAATGTGTGAAAATAATTTAAGCCGAAGACTCAATGCATTGTAGCTGCTTCATTCCACTCAGGCGTTGTTTCCTAAACTTTGCATTCCCACTGCGCGGTCATGCAAAGGTTTGGAAACAACACCTTCATGGTATGATTCAGCAAACATGCACTTAGTCCAGCGCATAAATTATTTTTTGCAGATGTTCATTACTGCATGTACTGCGTAAAAGAATTATTGCATCTACGTGTCTATCAAAAGCTTTAATTTAACGATGAACATGTCGTAAAGCCATGACATTTTCACATTTTCGATTCGATATTATTTTATTTATTATCCAGATAGAATGTACATGATAATTTGCAACGAACAGCTAAATGTTAATATCGACGGTCATAAAACCACCCATTTAGTGTTTTTAAACACAACAGCATTTACAATGTCTTTTGTTATATTTCCACATTTGAAACAAACACATGATTTGCGCTACATGTTGTGTGTCGTATTGGCAAATGTATATCAGCAAGTACCAGGACGGAACATTAATGAACTGCTCTAAGTTAGTAATTGAGGGATGGACCCGCATGAAAATGCATTTGCTACCATAGCTGCTCATATGCTCATTGCCATTGACTGCAATTCAAACTCACCAGTAATAAATATCATTGGACCGAACACATTGGAATGAAGAGGTCACTTGGGTATATTTTTAACATACATACCCACTTGATCGTTCTAAAAATTCATCTAAAATGGTTGGTGATTCATCAAATGGCGGACAAATTCTTTATTGTATGTTCCTACCGAAGTACGTAATGTGTAATCAATGGGGCGTTTAAGCTTGCAATGTTGTTCACAACCTAAACGTGAACGGAAAATATTTAAGCAATGCATTTGCATGGGCGATTGGTTATACGTTTAGGTTGGCGTTTCGATTCTACATGCTAGCTTAAACTTCCTAGTATTTACTTTCACCCTTCTTATAATATCCCCACGTCCCATAATAGCTCCCCCATAGTATCAAATGTAGCGGCATTCCTCAATGTAACGTGACAGAGCGTAGTAATTTCCGGATCAGTAATGCACGTATCCATTCTAACTAATGTCCATAACATAACTAGTTATAGTTAACACGGACTAACACACTGCGCAATTCGTCGAAGATAATTAAAAGTGAACCAGTACCTACCAGTAGCGCAGTAGTAATTCGGTAGAAACTTAAAGATGTTATGCTTCGTTTTGATGATGGTGATGGCGCAAGTCGTCATATCAGAAAGCAAACCGAAGAAGGGTGAGTTGTGTATGCGGTAAACCAGATACAAATAAATGTCATATTCCACAAGCAATATCATGGGATACAGTCTCACGATCAGTTTGAATCTTCACATACTACAATTTTTCAAAGTTTTTTTTATGCCAAACCTATTAAACATAAACAAATTATGAATATGATCACGTTCACCAATTTAGAACACATTATGGTGCGTTAATTTTTTCAAAACTGCAGTAAAGGAGGAGGGAAAGTATCGCAACAGATTTTGGACAGTCATAAGTTAGATTTTGACTATTTTCTGAGGATTTAAACAGGTACATATGTTAGGCCAATGCATTATCTCCAGGAAAAGCACTCATAGAGATGATAAAATAATTTCGACTTTGAGACAGGGGAGATGCAAACAACCCACCCATATGTTTTTTCTGAAATGTTGTACTGATTTTCAACCCCTTCCACCCCTGCTTTTTTGAATTTTTGTTGCAATAATTTAATCTAATAACTTGTTCCATTAAAACCTTCACAGAAATACCTTTCAGTCGAGACATTGCCCTCGATTTAGCGGCGTTTTGGTCCCCAGATGTGAGAAGTTGCAAATCCTCAGAGATTTCAACCACAATCCTTGATATCTCGCCAGTTCTTCTATCACTCTCCCCCATATTCTACGAAAGGACTCCCATTACAACCCACCATCGCTGCATTAACATGTTTATTACATGAAACACAGCAATTCTGAAAAGTCCTACGCAACTGTTCGAAATTGACCAAAACACCCCGTTGTCTTCCAAAACGCCCCGCAGAGTCTACGACTACAAACGTGTAGTTTCAAGGTGTATAGATCCAACGGGGCGTTTTGGAAGAGAACGGGGCGTTTTGATCAATTTCGAACAGATGCGTAGGACTTTTGGAAATTGCTGCGTTTAATGTAATAAATATGTTGATGCAGAGATGGAGGGTTGTAATGGGAGTCCTTGTGCAAAATATAGGAGAGAATAATAAAAGAACTGGCGATATATCGAGGCTTTTAGTTGAAATCTCTGAACATTTGCATCTTCGATTTTCCAAAGCAAGGGTAGGTTTAAAATTCAAATTAACGGTTTTGCAGGGCGTTTTGGTTACGATACGCCCCGGTGAGTTAGTACCGC